CCACACCGACACCCACACCCACACCCACACCCACACCCACACGCACCCACACCCACACCCCACCCACACCCCTTGTTTATGATTCGCTTACGTCGAGCTACTGAAGACCATGAGCTTGTGAGTTTCATCATTTTCAAATTTATTTTCTCTAGTTGGTATTTAGGGAATATTTTTCAACATATCTCAATCAATTGTCAGTCGTATTATTATTACATGGACTCGATTCGTATATTCAGTTTTAAGTTCAATCTCATTATGGCCATCGAAGGATCAAGTGCAACGAAACCTGCCTTTTGAAATGAAAAAAAACTACCCAACAGTGCGAGTTATAGTAGATTGCACCGAGCTTGAAATCGAAAAACCTAGTAATCCACAAGCTCAGCAAGACACTTGGTCAACATATAAAAATACAAACACTGTTAAAGGTAATAAAATTAAATTTTATCTTATACAATACTCTAAATTTTTGTTTTTACGACAGCACTTGTTGGTATAACACCTAATGGAATAGTTTCATATATTTCATCACTCTATGGTGGTGCGGCATCCGATCGAAGTCTGTTGAATATGACAGGTGCTGGAAGTCTCATTGAATTATTAGAAGCGGGCGACACAATAATGTCTGATCGTGGTTTTGCTCTTGACCATCAACATTCACATCTAAATTTGGTACATCCGCCGTTTCTACAAGATAAATCACAACTGCCATTAACCAAAGTGATTGAAACTCGTGTTATCGCCCGTCATCGTATCCACGTGGAACGATGCATGGGCAGAATAAAAAATTACAAACTACTCAACGGCATCATTCCAATAAAATCAATATATCTTGCCAACTTTTGGTTTTACATATGTACTTTTTTAACAATTTTCGATGAACCACTTGTAAAAGTTGTATAATATTTATTCATTAAATTATTTATTTATTTCAATAAATTTCCATTTATCAGTCAATCTTTTTTTTAAAACCTAATCAATATGATTATCTCAGTGTCACTCATAAAACTGTCTAAAGAACATGAAACAGAACAACATCAAAGAAAAAGACGTCATATAGGAGGAGAAAAGGAGGTGTGATAAGTGAATAGCTTATATACGAGCGAGACAATAGAGAATGAAATAGAGAGAAAGAACATGAAAGGAAAAGAACCGCCCATAGCAACAATTGCATAAACGTGTGGCCATTTTTTCTCTATGTTCGTGGCCAAAAAGTGATATGTGAATAAGGCTCATTGCCTATTCATACTGAGTTATATATATTCACGTAGACAATGGCATATTTTCGTTTATTTCGTTTGACGAATCATTTTTTTGTCATTTCTCTCTTTCGTTCATTCCGAACAAATTAATTCGAACAAAAGAAAAGAAAAACGAAAAACATTGACGTCTATTATTATTCAATACGTGTTAAGAGGATTTAGTTTCTTTTATTTTATATCTATATATTATATTCTTCAACTATTATTGAAAAGAATTGAAATAAAAATGGATAGTGTCTTTTAAAAATTTTTTTTTTTTTTTAAATCATAAGCAAAACAGTTTGTATCAGAGATCGTGATGCAAAAGTTAATCAAATACAAAAAAAAACAGATGATCAAGTTTTCAATAAAATAAACTTTTTTTTTTATTAAGATAGTGTTTTTTTATTTTTTATTTTAATGAACAGCATCACGTGGATGATATTGATAATGTTAATCAACAGTTTCTAAAAGAATCGTATTCAAATGTTTAGGATTTTTTGCGTTAAGAGTACCATCAAATTGAAGCGTAATGCACGTAATGCCTTTAAATTTTATTTGTTGATTATCTTCAGCAGCTAATTCTAAACGATAACATTGTTCTTGACGAGGTAAACTATTTAGATGTAAATTAATTCCATCTGTAATACTGCCTTGTTGTAAATTAATTTTTCGATCATATATGAAGTCATGTGTATTTGTAATTGAGGGTGTGGGTGTGGGTGGATGTGTGGATGTAGGGTGTCACTTTAAATGCCTACGACACCCGCACGCACACCCACATCCACACACATGCTCACACCCCACACCACACCCACCCACACCCACCCACACCACACCCACACCCACTCATAAACACACCCACATCCACACACACGCTCACACCCAACACCACACCCACACCCACACTCCACACTCACACCCACACTCACACCCACACCCACACCAACATCCACACCCACACACTCACACCCACACCCACACCCACACCCACACTCACACCCACACCCACACCCACACCCACACCCACACCCACATCGCTCGTTATTGGAGCTATACTCCCGGGCACAACATTTTTGGCAACCCTGTACATCGTATAATCTATTATTCATTTCAAGATAAAGTGGGCTCGGGTTGTTTGTTTATTAACTCTCCAATGCTGATAGCTATTGAATCATGATTTTCACTGTTAGACCGAAGGTGCCTGGCGGTACCTTTATAGCTGAGAGTGAATGAACTTTGCAAGTTTTTTGAAAGTTTTTCAGGTATTTTTTAATAAAACTCTGACAGGCTCTTTTGTATTACATAAATTCCTAATTTCAATTTAGCCAACTTGTAGCCTAGTATCTGCTTTACAAACGCTAAAATTTTCAGACTTCTCCCATGTGTCTTTGAGACATAAGAAAAAAGTCTCCTGCAATCGAATGATGCTAAATTTTCAAATTTTTTTGCCTCCGACCGGTGTGAATGTGCGTGTGTGGGTGTTGTTATGGATGCTGGGTGTGTGGGTGTTGGTGGGTATGAGTGGTGGGTGCTGGGTGTCGAATGTGGGTGTGGCATGAGTGTTAACCTTACTGAAAAAGGAGGACAACCATATTCCGTACTCACATCCACAACCGTCTGAGGCAAAACATTTTGAAAATTTAGTGTCATTCGATTACAGGAGATTTTTTCTTATGTCTCAAAGACACATGAGAAAAGTCTGACAATTTCAGCGTTTATATAACAGATGCTAGGCTACAATTTGGCTAAATTGAAATCAGGAATGTATGTAATAAAAAAGAGCCCATCAGAGATTTATTAAAAATACCAGCAAAACTTTCAAAAACTTGCAAAGTTCATTGACTCTCAGCTATAAAGGTACCCCCAGGCATCCTCTTTCTAACGGTGAAAGTCGTGATTCCATAGCTATCAGCATTGCAGAGTTATGAAACAAACAACCAGGCCAACTTTATTTGGAAATGGATACATACTCGCTATGTTCGGGCCAGTCCTGTGGTTATCGGGGATGCTCTATCGAATGGGGCTATATGTGTGGATCTCCGCCTAGCGCCTAACCACAACATAGAATCTCGCAATTTGATTGGCCACTTAAAATGGACCATTCAGATCTCAGCAGGACTTTTCTCTCTTATAGTGAGAACGAGTACTAGTCATGTTGGGGCCGGTACTATGGTTATCGAGAACGCTCTGTCGAATGAAGCGTATATGTATGTCCAGGTCAATCATGCTCAGCCGCACACGGCCGCCACCAACCAATGACGGCGAAGAAGGATCACCGTTTCCTGAGGCCGTTTACAACAACTATAAACGATGTTATATGACATATTACGGTCAACGTAAACGACGCCCGTATAAATCGACCGGCAAAGACTAGCGTAATGAAACGGCGACCGTACACGTTCCGTGTGAAGCATCGTAAGACGTCGTATACGTCAGCTGTTTACGACACTTATTGAGGGTGTAGGTATGTGTGTAGGTGTAGTAGTGAGTGTCTAAATAGAAGTTCACATATCCACACCCACATACACTCACACCCACACCCACATCTACACCTACCCACACCCACATCCACACCCTCAAGATAGTAGGACTTGAGGACCCCAAGGTAACATCAATAGTTGGACTAGAGAACTTCAGGGTACCCTTCAATAGTAGGACTTGAGGACCCTAGGGTGCCCCACAATAGTCGGACTTGAGAACCTATGAATATCTCTCAATAGCAGAACTTGGTGACCCACGGGTATCCCCCAATAGTAACACTTGAGGACCCAAGGGTATCCCCCAATATTAGAGCTTGAGGACCTATGGATATCCCCCAATAGCAGGACTTGGTGACCGAAAGGTATCCCCCAATAGTGGGACTAGAGGACCCAAGGGTATTCCTCAATAGTAGAACTTGAGGACTTATGGGTATCTCCCAATAGCAGGACTTGATGACCCAAAGGTATCTCCCAATAGTAGCACTTGAGGACTCAAACGTATCCACCAATAGGAGGACTACAGGACCCAAAGGTATCCCTGAATAGTAGGACTTGAGGACCGAAAGGGTACCTGTAAAAGTTAGGGCCGTTACCCCGTTCCCCGGTAACGGTCCGTTACCGCTCGAGGGTAACTGGTAACGGAACCGTTACCGTTACCCGGTAACGGTAAAAGTAACTTCCCACCCCTACTTGTTACTAAGGTTTTCGTGATTTCCAGCGATCATAGACGATGCTGTACTTCTTATTTTTTTTGTTTTCAAGTTTTTTATACGTAAATATATAAATGGATGATATCCACTCCCAAACGCATGCAGACTTCAGTTGTTTTTTTTGCATTGTTTCCTTTTCTTTCGTTTCACCAGTGTGAAAAGAAAATTAAAAAAACGTGTTTTGTCCTTTAACTGCATTCGTCTGTTGATAAGTAAGTATTTCTTCACAAGTATAAAGAAAATAGTAAAAGATAGGTGGGTGAAAGTTAAAGTTTTGTATTTGATAAATTGTTTTTATTAATATCAAGAAATATGAAACTTCGTATCAATCGTAAATGAATTGATAGATTATTGAACTAATTCAGTCGAAGAAAAATAATATTAATAATCATTCATAGCCATTTGTCGAGTACATCAATCTTGGTGCGAAGGTCAGAGTATTATTCTTCTGATGTCTTGATTATGATTCTTTTCATTAAAACCATATATAATATGCTTTTCTTTCTGGATTACTTAGAAAATCAGTTGATTATTATTTAGACAGAACATTCTTGTAGATGGCAGCAGCATATATTACAAAGTTGATTAAAAATTTTACTCGAATTTGAGTCTTATTCATTGAGTAAAACCTATGTAATAGTGTAATGTAAAAACAGAACTGAACTTCGAAAAACTGTTACCTTAATGGAAATGTAGAACGTAGGTGTTCGTCAGTTTATACTTAGTCTTATAATCTTATTTTACATCTATAAGTTATCTTCTTGTTCTTTCTATGACAATGGAAGATCCAAATTATTCAGCCACAAGAGCTATACAAGAGAATTCTTATTAGTAATTGGAATCTTCATGAGTTTTCTAGTACATTTTATTGATATGAAAGACTCCTCACATATCTCAACACTTTCAAAAAGATCCTTGATTTTTCTTCGAACTGCAAACATGACCTTTTTAGGACCAGCGATAACATATTTATAACACTTTCTCCTATCATCAGTGACTAATTATATCTAAAAGAATTTTCTCGAGGAAAAGAATTTATATTTAAAAGAGTTGTTAGCGCAATCCCTACGGGATTAAAATGTGAAACACGATATAGCTGCTGTGGCTAATGACACAGAAATAGTTTAGCTCTATGTCTGTTATGGTCTGTGAGACTGCCGATCATAGTCTAGTTGTTATTCACAACACTGTCTGTCACGGTCTATTATAGTGTCGGCCATAGTCGGTGATATATGTCAATCACGGTCTGTGGAGGGAAGGGGTGGCTGGAGAACTATTTTTTACCTCTATACACTTCGACACTCTCTTGTAGATCGTGTTTCACAAAATTCAGTACATGTATTTGAATAGAAGAATAGAGGCTTGTAGAGAGTAAAATTCATGCATTTTCTGAACGCGAAAACAGGACATTAAATATTTATTTCTAAGCTTCTTAAGCACAAAATAAAGTGCCACAAATCTTTTGAAACATTAGGTATATAGAATTATTTACTGTAAATTGTATAATATGCTAAAATCAAATCGAAATAGGTCGAATCATTGATATGTGCCAATTGTTTTTTAGCTTAATACAAAAATAATGCGAACATCCATATGGACGCCCTCACACTCTGATGAGAGAGATCCTCTTCTTTCTCCGCCACTATATGCAGAAGTGACCAGATACCAACGACAGGATCCAAATTATTCTCATAGGCCAGTTGATGTTGACAATAATATCCCACCAGCAACAGTGGCTATCAATGGAAATCATGCAGAACCATATTCTAGAAATCATCCTTATCAGGCTATTATTATTACTGCAATTATAGTCTGTGGTATAGTCACAATAGCACTTATAGTATCTTTAACAATTATCTTTGTAAAACACAGTTCAGTTATTACCACGATGACCACTACCACTACTACCACTACTACCACTACTACCACTACTACCACTACTACCACTACTACCACTACTACCACTACTACCACTACTACCACTACTACCACTACTACCACTACTACCACTACTACCACTACTA